CCCTTTCTCCACAACCTCACCAACATTTGTTGTTGATTGTCTTTTCAATGATGGCGATCCTTACTGGTGTCAGGTGATATCTCATTGTGGTTTTAATTTGCATTTCTCTGATGACAAGCGATGTGGAGCATCTTTTCATGTGTCTGTTGGCCATCTGAATTTCTTCTTTAGAGAACTGTCTTTTCAGCTCCTCTGCCCATTTTTTAATTGAATTATTTGATTTTTGTTTGTTGAGGTGTGTGAGCTCTTTATATATTTTGGATGTCAGCCCTTTATCAGATCTGTCATTTATGAATATATTCTCCCATACTGTAGGATACCTGTTTGTTCTATTGATGGTGTCCTTTGCTGTACAGAAGCTTTTCAGCTTGATATAGTCCCACTTGTTCATTTTTGCTTTTGTTTCCCTTGCCCCAGGATTTCAAAGCACCCAGGATATCACCCTTGTGTGGTTGCTGGTGATGTCAGGGTAACTAACGAGAAGCAGCCAGGAAACAGTATGGAGTTGCTCAGTCTAATTTTTTTTCCCACTATTCCTGTTCGTAGATAGAGTGAAGTTCAAAATCTCAGCTCACCTTTGGTCGGAATTCCTTCCACTGAGTGGAGAGAGGGAGAAACATCTTCCTTCGCCTGGTGTCTCATCTTGGTTCTGGTTTTGAAGGGAGAGGGCAGCGGGGAGAGGCAGGAGTCAGTTTGTAGATCTGTGGGAGGACAGGCCTTTGCTCCCAAGGTATCCTGTCGCTACTGACCCTGAGCCACATGCGTATAATTCTTAGGGACCGTGGACGTGCGTCTGTCTTCTCGGGAAGAAGGCTGCCTCTGACGCGCTGCGGCTCATTGGTCCACACTGCGGCACCTGTGACCTGGATGTGCCGTTAGCTGCACAAGTCCTGTTCCTCCTCCTCTTCCACAGCCCGCCAGCCTCCTGCGTGGAAACCCTGAGGCTGCCACCTTGTTGTGTGCGGCTTGGCCCCGACCTCTGTGCATGGCTCTTTCCCTTGCATGCAACTTGCTCCTTGTGGGTCTTTGAGACTTACTCTTTTCCTGCCTGGATTAATTTTCCTCCAGATGGTATTTGTCATAATCACAGTGTCGTGTTCTTTGTGTGGCTTAAGTTACAGAACTGATCCTAACGCTAAACCCTGTGACCTTAACAGCTCTGGACGTGCTGCAGGTCATCTGATTCGAGCAAAGGTGTTAAGAGAAAGAAGGTGGGAGGAAGGGGTGGCCTCTTCCCATTTGGTTTCTTTTGTTCAAATAAACACATTTCTTGAATAACAGGTCTTTCTCAATTGCCATTCCTTACTCATCTGGAAATTGGGGCTTGGTTTTGTGAATCTCCACCTCTGTTATATGCGGTATTCCATAAGCATCAGAGTTGAGGAAAGATGTTTTCCTGTTCACAGCTGCAGTCCTACAGCCAGTCCAGAGCTGCCTGCACAGGTTTGCTGAATCACCAAACATTTGAAAGCAGCTGAATGAACCCCGACATCAGGAGGGGAGGTGGCCTCAGTGGCTGCATTTTGGAAGTGCAGTAAAAAAGCGTCAAAGAGCACTGTTAGCTCTCTTGGGTCTTATTTTGACTTCAGCCAAGACAGAGCCTAATGCAGGAAGGAGGAAGAGGAGAACCAGTTTGGATTATGTGGGAAGATAAAGATCGTTTCTGTGGCTTGGCATCTCTCCAATGGTTATCTGAGGCTGGGAGGCACTTAGCTCTGCCGTCTGGGCCACCTCCCCCTGCCCCCCACCCCACATCACCCCCAGTCAGTTTTCCTCTTTATGACTAGCAGTGTCGTGCTCTTCCTCCACCAGTACCGAGCCCCAGAGGCCTGCGGGGCAGGTGGTTTGAGGGCGGCGGCATCTTGCTGGCAGGGACATCCCTGCACACAGAGTGGAGGTGTGGGGTTAAAGGTGAAAAGGGCTCTCCTGACCTGTGTCTGAAAAGGAATGCGTTTGGGTTTCAGACCCAGTTTGGAGAGAGAAATCATAACTGAATTACACAATTCCTAGGCTTGTGGCTATTGTATGTCCTTAAAGCTTGAAAGCAAAATGACTAAATAAGTATTTGGGAACGGCCTATACAGTGAACATCCAATACCCCAGGCAGTTAGGTGGCTCGGAGGCCAGGTCAGAGGAAATGCTTTGCATGTGGTGTAGCTAAGGCTCTTACTTTGGCAGAGTCTTGAGATTGTGATGGTCAGATGTGGAGCTTACCGTGCTTTTTTGACCTGAAAGGAAGCCTTTTCACTTATTCTTCCATACCCTTCAGTGTAGGGTTGCATCCAGATGGGCACATTCAGACAGCGTAGTTTTGTCTCAGAGGACGTCTCTTTCCAACTTGGATGCCTCGCTTGCTGAATCACCAGTTTGTCCCATCAGTCAGGGTTCAGTGTCAGGTCTGAGCCCACCACACCAGTTTGAATGTAGGAGAAGCCCAGGTCCCTTAGCGTGAGCGCTGCCTCACCTGACTGCCTACAGCCAGCTCTGAAGCGGGGAGGGGAGGCAGCAGAGGGGAACTTGCAGAACCTGTATCAGCTGAGGCTGTTTCTGTGTCTGGGACTCAGCTAGTTGCCTGTCCCTCAACCTGAATGTAAACCTGCTCTCTGGATGGGTAGGTGTGCCTGCCGGCATGACACTCACATGCAGTGACTGTGAAAGCTTCCTGGGGGCCGTCCTACTGGGCGAGTTTTATATAGTCTGTGTGACCGAGTTGGTCTCTCCTCCAACCTTTTAGAATTCTAAGTTTCTCTTCAGTGTCCATTATGGCATTTGCATATCTGAATGTGAAGGTTCCCGTGTTCTCACTCTCTTGGGTTATCTGTGTGCCTGAAATGGTTTCTTGAATCCTTTAGAATTCAGGAAACAATTAATTATGCAGGGCCTGAATTTATATTTATTATATGTGTTATATTTATTATATGTGTTAACACGCAGGCTTTCAGATTATGGCATAGCGCTGATTTTAAATATGGTATTTGATGGCTTTACATTGTAGAAGATGTCACCAAAGGTTTTTATTGCTGTTTTTGTTCTTGTCTGAAGTATTTGGGGCAATGAAAAAACTTAATGCTAAGAACATGTATTAGGGTTAAAAAGTCCTGCAATCAGGCATGTTTTGGTGTGACTTACAGCCTCCCTTGGCTCTGAGTGGACCCTCCCCAGCTGGGACCACACTGCTTTGTCGTGGTCTTGTGGATGATAGTCTGGTGTTCCTGGAATGTTCCTTTAAGGTGCTTTCTATTTCTGGGAATGTCATTTTGATACCTTTGATAATTAGTTATACTGAGAACATAGTTAAAAAAATTAAGTAAAAAGAAAGCAGAATTTGGATTATTAAAACAAAAGCTTTAAAGCATGGTTATCACAAGCTGTGAGAATTCACATGCCCGCACTGCAGTGTTTGTAGGGGGTGTCTCCTATTAGAGCGCTCATCCCCCCACTGCCTGTCACGGCCCTTTTAGAGATATTTCTGGTCTGAATTTTTCACAGTGGTGTCTAACTCCAAAGTAAATCGTCTTCATCTGTTCATCTTAGTTGAGCTTCAAGCTACTTAATTAGTAGTTTGAATATTAAAATTTGTGCCATGCATTCCTTGGCGTGACTGGTTTATTTTGAGCTAACGGTCTAGGATAAGGGAAATAGAAAGTAAAACGGAGAAAATGTTACATCCATATGGATGACACCACCTTAACGCTGAATGCTTTTTCCCCCTTAAGCCACGGGAGGGTGCCTGTTAGAAGTCAGTCAGCGTCAGAATTCATTACCATTAGTGTGCATGCTTTCTAAGTTGTAGTTCTAAGGAAAAAAATCTGAGATGTATGGTTACTGTGCCATGTGAATCCCCTGAATAGTGGACATGTTCTTGGGTTCTGTCAGATGCTGACTGTATTCATCCAAAAGTCCTACTTCTTTTGTGATGAAATTATTGAGATATTTTAAACAAACACAGCCCTTAATGGCTTTGGTTCTTAGGCCAGCCATGACTTGCACCTGTGTGTATGTAAAAGCAGAAGAGAAAAAGGAAAACACACAGCCTCAGAAACCAGGAGCTGAGATGGATTCTTGTGCAATTGGCCACTCAGAGCCCCCAGTTAGGCCTCGTTCACACTGCCCGCCCCCATTTGTGTTTCAAATAAGTATTCGGAGAGGTCTGGGAGGAGGAGTAATGAAATCTGAGAGAGAAAATGAAGTGTGACAGCATTTCAGAATCTAAGGAAATGCACCCGCAGGTTCCTTCCCTGAGTTCTTTGTGCCCCTTAACTGTGTAAATGCACCCTGGGATTGGAAATGGGGACACCACCACCCCCCGCCCACCCCCCTGGGTCACAGGCCCTTACTAAGCTTGTTTCTGGGTGGCTTGCTGGGACTTTCAGGGACTCACTTTAA